GTCGAGTATCGGCCGTGGGCCAACCTGCCTTCCTCTTTCTCTCTCTCTCTCTCTCTCTCTCTCTCTTGCTCTTCGCTGGTACCCCTCTCTGTCTTTCCTCGCCTTCCTCCCTCCCCGGCCCCCTCGGCTCCCCTCGCTTCAGCCTGCTTCAGTCTCCTACTCCGTGCGACTATCTTCCGCGGTCGTAGCACGTTTTGGGCTTTCACCCAAAGCGATCCACCAGCGCGACGACGACGACGACGACGACGAGACCGAGCGGTCCCTCGTCGGCTCCACTCGCAGAGGTACGCGCGACGAGGTTGCAGCTGCCGCTGACAGGCGAGGCGATGCTGCTTCCTACGTGGACGACGACACCGTCGGTCGGCACGGGGAGCATCGTCGGGTCTCCCCGGCTCCGGGAGATTCTCTCTCTTCTCCGTCGGGCCGCTTCTCGGAGGTGCTCCGACCGGACGGATACACGTTCACTCGCAGGCCGCGTACCGCGTACGCACGCGTCTTCGTCCCGGCCGCCGACGTTCGCGCTCTGATCACACCGCTTCTCGTCGACCTCCTGCTCCTTGTCGTCCAGCAGCCGCGGATCCAGCAGCTGCTTCCTGGTCGCTTGGCACGCGGTGGAATATCACGACGCCGGCGAGGCGCACAGCTGACCGGCCGGTCTTTCAAGCTCGGTCAATAGCCACAGCAGTCGCGAGCTGCCGAGGGTAGCTCGTGCGCTGAGCGATCGCGACCGCCTCGGCAATCTCCGCCACTCGTCGGCTCCTCCCGTGGCCTTTACGCCACGGCCAGACTCGTGCTAGGACGAGCGCGGGGCCCCGAGCCGTTTCGGCCCGATCGAAGCGCCGGAATGGAAATTTCCTCGCCGAGCGCGATGCTCGCCGCCGCGCCGTGGGACCAGCTGCGCGACAATCCTGCGGGGATCCTCCCGTGTCTCCGCCGAGGCTCCTCGGGGCCGACCGGGGGCTCCGGCCACCGCCACCGCCGCCGCCGCCGCCGCCGGTTACGTGGCCCCATCGCGTAACAAAGAAGCTGTGCGCGCTTCAGCGCCAGCTCAGGCCCGTCGTTTCTGCGCGCTCATGAAAATTACGCAGGTCCACTCGGCGGACGCGTTTCCGCGTCGACGCGGCCAGAGTCCCTCCTGACTCACCGATCGCATCGAATTCGACGAGTCCGGCTGGAGGCGTCCTTTGAGTCGCGCTCGCTCGGGGTCTAGCCAAGGAGGAAACTACCGTGAGCGTGTTGCGCGCGAATACCGTGCCCCGAGTCCATCGCGAATTTGCTGACTCGCTCGTTCGAGAGTCTTTGTCTCCCCCCCTCACCCTGCCGCTCCCCGCGCGGCCAGTCTCTGCAGGAGGCACACTCCTTCAGGCGTCGAAAATGCTGTTTTAGAAAAACTGCAGCTGAATCTTCTTCGTCTTATCGTGGGCGGGCTCGCGTCAGCGAGGCCGTCGAGTTCCTGAGTCTTTTGTCTCCCGCGCGCTTTCTTATCGCGGACTGGACTTCAATGAGACTTCGAAGTCGCCGCGACTCCCTCGCGGATTACGCACCGTCACCGTCATCGAAGGGGTCCCTTCAAGGTCGTCGGCGGATTTCTTCTTCCTCGTCGATTTTCGGATTCAATCTTCGCGGTGGCGTAATTAGTCGCGCTCTTTGAGGTCGATGCGAGTTCACACGCAAGCGAGATGTCAATCCCTTCGGAGCCTTCTCCTCGACGAAGAAGGCTCGACTTTTCGGCGAGCGATTTGTTTAACGAAACTGCGGCGGCCGCGCGCGCCAGGAGGCCGCCTCGCAACGGATATTGATCGGACGACGAGAGCGAGCGTTGACATGGATTTTATAGTTCACGCGGCACGCACTGCTGCGACGGAGCTCGACGATGTCCCGCCGCAGTCGCGCGTCATTAGACAAATAAATCCCGGAAACAAAGGCGGGCGGACCGATCGCGCCCGAGTCGCTGCGAGAGATTCACGCGACAAAGGAACACACTCAGCTCGGAAGGAGCCTCCTCCGGGGGCTCCAAATGTCGCCGGTAAAAGGAGGAGGTTTTCCCGGAATTACAAGTCTGACGTGTCAGCAGACGCTCGCAGAAAGAGAGACGCGGTCCGCCCGTCTTTATTTCACGCGTTTAATGCCTCCCCGATCGATCGCCCACGACTCGCACGGAGAGAAATGTCCGGTCGAGTGGGCGAAATTTTCTCGCCGGCTACGAACGGGTCAGAAATTCCGCCTGGAAATACCGGGACTCTGTCCGAGTCGGCCGGAAATCTTGATCATCCGGCTCGGATTCGGATCACCTCGGCCGGAATTTCTGTTGCGCTCATGTTCTTCGCGGCGGCGGAGGAACTTCGCGTCTCGTCCACGCGGCCGACATTTCTCCGTGCGGTCCCGACGATGGCGAAAGAATTATCGTCGGATCGCGATCGAAGATGGCTCTTATCTACGACCAGCTGTGTGATAAAGGACCGGACGCTCTCTCATCGGGAGCTTCTCCGTCGCACATTCA